TATTTTCAATTGATTTAAAAAAAAAAAAAAAAAAAAAGCATCTTTCTCTACAAAAACCAGAAGCCGCTAAACTCAAAAACCAGACGTCCAAAGTTTCCAGCATCCGTACATTTAAAATCAACAGCACGTTACATATGAAACCGCTGCAGGGATGGGTTCAGGATGGGTTATGCTGGCTATTTACAACACGCGGGACAAGTAACAAGGAAAAACGGGCGCGGAAAACAAATTAAACTGGGGACAGGGGAAAAACTTCACTGTGACGAGACCCTCGCCCCGTTTGCAATCCCCCCGGATCCCCGGAGGTACCGACCGACGCCGCTCGTTTTTCACAGGAAGGATACATCTGTGTTGCTCAACTTCGAGCCGAAACCGCAAATAATTGAACGTGCATTTTATTAAACATACTAGGAAACAAAATTCGACAGCGAGGCTGTCTCGCGCGCTGCCTGCCCCTGCAGAGACGGATCCCAAGCCAAGCAATCTTCTCTAATAGGATGGGTTTGTCATCTCTGGCTCCCGGCCAGCATTTCATTTAGACACCCTCCTGAAGTACTGAGCACTTCGGTATAAATCACTCTCGGTTTTTACTTTCACAGGCTTGTGATGAGCGCTCTTAATCCCTCTTGGAAAATACCACCTTGAACTGTTTCCACTGTTTCTAAGAAACTGTCATACCACCTACTGATTTAAGCATTAATAAAAAAAATAAAGCCTGCCCGGCTGGCGGGGGCTGTCACCATGACTCTCTTCAAACTTCGCCGGGACCCAAGCCCAAAAACGGGCCCCGGGGGGGGGACGCTGGAGGACCCCAACTCGGTTGGGGGTTTCGGGAGGGGACGCACGGCGTGGTGGGAGCTCCATCCCTCGCGGGCCGGGCGTCCCAAGCGAGGGCAGACGAGCCCTGGCTGAAGCTGGACCCGGCCTTTCCCTAAATCGCACGTTTTCCCAAGATTCATACTCAGTTTTCCCGTCGCCCCCACCCCCAAGCATTCCTTTCGGTAATTACTACACCAGGTTTTAGGTTTCCGCTTCAAACCATTAGTGGAACTGGAATCAGTACAGGCACTTTAACTGTCCTCTTCGTGCACCATTAGCAAGGAAAAACATTTAAACAACTGACATCAGACTGCATTTACATTTAAAATTCAATCTCCAGGACCCTCGAACAGCGAGATTCAGGCCCCGGACGCAGAACAGGGCTGATTTTTGCGTCGCTTTTGCTTAAGGCTGCTGAAAGACACCGAGGAGCCATCTGAGCCAAGCTTTTTGCTGGGTTTTTTTTCTTCAAATAAAATCTGATTTTGCCTGTAGCGGCATTTATAAGGCGGGGGGGAAGCTTTCTGCAGAGTTTTGAATGTCTCGAAAGACAAGACTTAACAGGAAACAGTGAGGAAAGCCTACGGCAAGTACTTAGCTAACACAGGCATCACAACACTTTTTCCACAACCTCATGCAGTCATTTCAAGATAAAATTCCCTGTCAAAAAAACCCCCCAGATTAATTCAAAGGTAACAGGGGGGGAAAAAAGTGAAGAACAAGTGATTTATGGCAAAAATACCTTATGTTTCTCTACATATTTCACATCCAATGCTTCCAACCATGCTTTAATTGAAAATAGCTTTCCCCCCCCCAAAAGCTAATTTAGGGGAGCACAGAAAAGTTTAAATATTTCCACCAAATGAGTTTCTGTTCCAGGCTCTGGCAGAGCAGAGCAGCTGCTAATGGTTTCAGACTGCCACAAAGAGTTCAATACACACACACACACATGCACTCTTGGAAAAAAAAAAAAAATCAGAAACAAGCTAATTTCACAGCACAGTGGAGCCCACTTAAACAACCAACTGCTCAGTGTATAAGATTTATAAACACACCAGTTCTGCCCAGCAAAGGCTAAAAGACATTTGCAGATGAAGGTGCAGACTGTGTGAGCTTTAAAGCGACGCCCCGAGCCGAAGCCCTCCATCGCGCTAGCTTTACAGCCTGCGAAAGCTTCTGTCACACATCAAAGTGCTGTGCGGAGCATTGTCTAGCAGGGGGAAATTTTCAAAATAAAGGCCCATTCCCCGTGTAGCTGAAATAAATGAGGGGAAAAAATAATTAACGTCATCGGGACAGAATGAGATCATTCCGTTTACTCAGCCCAAGCAATAAGGACATTAAGTAAAATATTTTTAAAAGGGTTTTCCACTTCTGGACTAATACAGACATTATCTAATAACTTCTTCCAGGAAAATGATGATCTAATATGCACAGGGGAAAAAAAAAATTACCTGATGAAGAGGCAAAATGAAGCACAAACCTACCTGCATCTGCAGCCTACTACAGCACTTGAGGCTAAAAGTAACTTCCTTGTAGCGGGATTAGCAATTAAGCGAGGGAGGAGGAGAGAAGGGCAATTACACACCAGGTACTACCTAGCTTAGAAAACCCGTGCTGGGGTAAATCATTTTAAAAGCCAGGCAGTTATCAGTGCAGCCTGTAACACAGATGCGCTTGCCCTGGGTCAAATCTCACTTACGCTGCTTTCTCTTTACTCCACTACGTCAAGCTAAACCCGCTTAAATAGGCCTGCGTTAAGGATTTGCGGCTCTGTAGCAAGACAAGCTTAAAACCAGTATTTAGTTCTTGAGTTTGCCTGGAGAAGAGGCTTCAGAAGGAAGAAACAAGTTCATGTGTGGGCAGAACTTGACGTTATGGAGTTGAGATAGCTGCTTCTGTGAAATATATCGTAAAGACTCCGTTTGGGAAAAGCAGTTTAGATTTCATATAAACACAGCCAACGCGGTTACACGATGTTCTTCCCCAGCGAGCCTGCGCACACTGCGCCCTACCTTCCACGATATCCCTCTTGTAGTCGCTATCGTTGTCGCTGTCCGTAGGCCGGTAGTAGATATAAAATCCTTGGATGGGCGTGTTGTTGTTGCTTGATGTGATGTACTGAAAGACAATTTTAAAAGACTGCGTTGGAGAAGAAAAATTTTAATTGAGTCCCGCTGAGTTGTCATCACTGAATATCTTATCACCTTGAAATATGTATTTATTTTTTATTTTTTTTAGCAAGGTTGCGCAAGCAAGGTGTAGGGGGAGGTTTGCACAGAAGCTGCAACGGGAAAGCGGATTCCCGAGTGCCGTGGAAGCGCGGGCGCAGCCGAGATGAGCGCAGCGCCGGGCATTCGCACCATGCTGCAGGAGAGCTCTCCGCCACGGAGCTCCTCGGACCAGCGGGAAAAGGAGGGGAAAAGAGGAGAGAGTGAGCTGGGGCTGACGCTCTCCTCCCACACCGCTTCCCAAACCGTCAGTTAGGGTCTGAGCATGAACAACCTGAAAACTTGCGTGATTAATGGAAACGGAGAAGTCGGGACCATTTTTACTTGAGAAAGAGTTAAGGTCGCTCTGCAGCTCAGCTCAAGAACATTTTACTTTAAGTTATGCAGCCTCCTGAGGAACTAGAGGTTATTTTAAGTTTATTATCCTTAACATCTCTTCAGGCTGAGCTAGCAGAGCAAACTAACACTGGGAACTCTACACGTTAAATCCTCCAAAGTACACCAGGGGGTTAGATTTCAAAACAAGAGCAAAGAATTTCTGCGGGTTTCAATAAGGACTTTAAAGTACTTGTTTACAAAAGACGAGGTAGCAGGGGAAAGGAAAACGTTTCTCTAACGCGAAACCTCTACTGGATG